ATTTTACGGCATTCCTCGTATCTCTCCCAATATCCGGAAAACCCAAACCCGAACAAAATTCCAAAACAACAACCGAACATTGGTTGTTAGCACTGGAACTTGAAGCGGTAAGGACCTATATAGAAATCCTAAGATTCTCGGTGTGGCGACCAAGAACACGTTCTTAGGATGGACATAATTGACCGAGACAGCAAAACAGGATGGCACTGCTAAGAGGACTTCATTACAGACCTGTCCGATAGGGTACCAGTATGGTCGGATACCCTCTGTAAATCTTTCACCCATAGAAGTGGAACACATGGATACAAAGTAGGAAACGACAATAATTTCACGGCATCCCGTTTGATATCAAAAGCTACCAGCTCAGACTGCTAGCGGATGGCCTGCTCAACGTGAGCTAACTTCTGTGGTTAGAGAAGGAAACTCTTCTTACTTACGAATCGGCGCCCTATTTTGCTGGTGTTAAACAGGTTGAGTTGTTACCACATTCCGGATTAATCCAGTAAAACTCTTGTCATCAAAGACCAGCTGGAACCCCCGATGGGCGTAGAGAAGCACTTGAAAGACTTACTGTATAAGCTGCTACACGTCCGTAAACAGACACTACGGGAAATGTTCAAAAACTTCTCAGACGTATCGCCCTGGTGACATCAACAGTCAATTCGCAGACCCAGTAACTGGTAACGCCAGGAAAGTTTCAGAAGACCATTCGCATTTGTGTGTGGTTTTTCTTCAAACTTTTAACGATTCAAGAATACAAGATCAGACTGGGTCGAATGCGAGACGAAATACGTAAGAAGCGTAAATTATAGACCCAAGATTGGACATACCTGGGATATCTGTGTAGATCTGATGAAGCTTTGTGAAAGGACCAAATCCTGCCCGAGTACCAGATGCAATACGTAGGGCGTAGCATGAATTGGGATCAAGTACACCAAATGTGAACTCCTGTTTTAACCAGCCAATCTGTTGCATTCTAAGACGAAGTGACTTGTCCGGTTCACTTTTCTGATTCGCCCCACACGGATAAAGCTGTGAAGGGGAATGAATAACTATAAGTTTTTCTTCTACGTTGTTGCAGGATATGTAGTGTTCTCATTTATCTTTTATATCCAATTGAGGGATATGTGGTGTTCATGATAAAATTACCCAGCGGGTTTCAAGCTTCTGTGGCGCTACCTGACTGGGATGTCCTGACAGGCAGGTCAATCGAACGTCACAACCGAGAAGGTTGTTGGGTCATCTTCGAATGGTCGGATGTATCAGTCATGTCGCTCAAGCGTGAACATGTTCGCTTGTTCGGACGTGAAAATTCTAATGCGTCCGGCATGCGCTGGTGAGTTACTGGCAACACGCTCGCCTTGCACGTCAGGCGTCCGGAGTTCAAACCCCAGCAAGCCCAAGGTTATGCACCGCTGATGAACTAGCTGATGGGCTAGCACCAGGTAACTCTAAACTCTAAAACCCTAAACTTTCTTCCTTCCACTGAAAAACTTTATTTAAGTTGGCTGACATGGTTGTAGGGCAGTGAAATACCGAAATGCTATGCTCGTGTTGCTGTCACTGATGCTATTGATGCCAGTGAACTATAAGATAGAGAAGATCCGGATACAAAACCGCTGACCATTCTTTCTTACTTTGTCCCACCGCAGACAGAAGATTCTGCGATAATTAAGACGTCCTCCACTTCATCATGGACTGATAAGCGGACGGGCAGTCGGAGCTAAAAACAAATACCGTGTTAGACCGAAAGCAGATGAACCTTTGCAGTACAGTTCGCTGCATTTCATGACGGTTTGATGTGGCATACCGCGGAGTACAAGTGAATTGAATAGGTTTAATTGAGGTTGAAAAGAGCAAACGCCTCCAAAAAGATTCGTTTTTCTGATGCGGAAAATAAGCCCCCTGTTTGGTTCCAGTCCTACCAAGAGGAAAAAACCCGAATCCTAACGGGTTTTCGCAAGAATATACAAAATGACAAACAGTAAAATCCTTTTTCGAAGTGCTAATGAATTTTGTCTTGTTAGTGCAGATTTACTCTTACCTGAAGTGCCAATCATCGGTGGTGCGTACTTTACGAATCTACAGAGAGATTCGAACTCACGACTACCATTCATTTGGTTAGCAGTGTGGTGCACATCTACTTGGATTATGCAGTGCCACTCATCCTTTTTAAGAGAAGCCGCCGCTAGATCGCGCAATGAAATGAAGTGCGCGCTAACGACACCGCTGCTTAGCCGTGTTAGTGTATGATAACTCCCAACTGTTAGCTGGAAGTCAATGCACTACTGATAACTCTCAGTAAGGAAGAAGCAGCTGGCTTATCAATGTGGATTGACTTTGCCCTAAAGGACTACAGACACAGTTACAGTTCGAATAAGTTAGCCCAATTGCATGAAACGTTTCGTTGGAGAAAGCTTTCCACAATGCAAAGTTATCTGCATAGTAATCAGCAGATGGAACAGAGGTACCATCCTGGATTTCCAAACCTGAACTGAACAAGAAACGTTTCATCAAGAACCATCAAATCTGGTGACATTAAAAAGCATCCTGCCATGTCTGTTGTGTATCAGAAAGCCCAAGTTGTACGCGACCTTTTACCTTTCGGCAACGAACATTTTTCCTAAACAAAACAGGCATTCCAAATACACTGAAGACATATGAACGTATTTCAAGGTAGAAGAACCCCGTATTACCTATTAAACTCACAAAAGAATGAATGACATATGCATGGGGTGAGGATCTTACCTCTAACTTATATTGATTAATCTCTCCACCAGGATACGGCCCATTACGCCACCAGACTGTAATAGAAGTGTTGGTTGCTGAGGTTTTTGTTATCACAGGTTGATCAGGTTCACCCTCAGCCGTTTGAACCAGTAGTTGTGCCAGAGGGCCCTGGTATTTTCCATTGCGGAACGCCACAGAAATATTGTAATGTGTATAGGGTCGTAAATTCGGTATCGTCAAAAGCTGTGAAGTGCAGAAAGCGGTAACAGAACTGACGCAGTGCTAGGACGATGAATATCACGTAAATCAGTAGAAAGTTTATCAGCATGACCGACGCTGGTTGTGTCCACTTGTACGACAACCATCGTGGTAAAGTAGCTGTCAGATGGTTTTATTTACCCTCCAAAGAGGGTTTTCTCTAGTGTTCAGCAGCTTTGGTCTGTCTTATGAAGACTTTGCTGAACTTTGATGTGGTTCTGCAGACTAGAAGTCAGCATAAGGAATGAAAAAGAATTCATCAAAGTTTGGAAATTTAATCGGTGTCAACCAAGAACTCAACTGAATCTCTTGTTCGCACTGCCTCATGCTTCAGTGAGCATATGCTCACTCGCATATACTCCTCGCAAAACACGCTACTCATAGAGCTGCCGAAAACTGCTCCAGAGATCAACACAGGTAACTTCTTTCTTCGAACTCATCAGGTAAAGCGCAGCTGCTGAATACCATAATTTGCAAATGACTGTACCGTCAGCTGCATACAATTAGATGTTTCAGAAGAACACGAGGTTGATGAAAACTCTAGGTGAAACAGGAAGTAAAAGTGTTTTCTGCAATTTATGAATTGTGGGTCCTTCCGAGAAAACATACGTTTCAGGGTTACTGAAACGCTGGAAGGCTGTGGTCTAAAACACCCAAAAAACGGCGATGGATTACTCAAACAACATCCCTATTTCCGTGTCTTATTACAAATGGACGGTGTGATGTGGATCCCAGCCGAAGCAGTGACGCGCGCAAAAACCTAGTAACCATACTGAAAACCATATACCATATACCATATGTCCCCAGGACAAAAGCAATCAGAAGGCATGATAATGGACTCAAACGGCGGTGTAATTCCTTCGTGTTCACTTAAGAGTCAAAATGCCTGGAAAAGTCATTTAGTGTATCCAAAACGTAGGATCGTAACATCTAATTCTCGAACGCTGTTCTGACTTTAGGCTTTCTATATATCTTTTGGGATATAAAAGCGTTCCATTCACCTTAGCGTCTTTCTTTGAGCTGCGAAGTGTGTTCAACAACCGTATATCCTACAAAATCTTTTTATGGTTAAGCCAAATGGTGGAGTAATTCAAGTGAATCTTCCTGAAGAAACCACACTGCCTAAACATTGGCCGTAGTCGGAATCAACAAGGTTTTCGTCAATGGCGAGAGGCCAGAAATTCTTCAGCACCATCCTTGTTTTCACATCAACTGCAAAATTTCTGTCAGCAGACATCCAATGAACGAAATTTACACAGCTTACACCAAGAATGGACACTGCAATTAAAAGGGAAAGTTTTCGCAGCATGAAATCTTTCTTTCTCAATGAATCACCCTGAAAAAGGCTTACGCACCTCCTAGCAAGAAACGCCACCGTAAGAACAACCTTCGCGTAGGATTCAAAAACAAATTGTTTCTAATAATGGTACCCCAACATCCCCTCACACCAGGATGATTTTCCGTATATTTTCTGAATGGATTGATGGACTGGTTTATCATGGTAACCAACTGGAAAGCGTCATTCAATTACAAAATCTAATGAAGACACTAGAGCCGAAATTTGAAGAAAAGCAGCCCAGTAGAGTTCACTGGTCACCAACTATCGGTCGCTTTGTCGTGGTATGACAGTAAATCCTCCTGATATGTATCTCCATCTTGGAATTATTTTTCCGGTACAAAAATTTCAATTTCAGTTGCGAACATATTTGGTAATTTCTCGAGAGAAAACACGCTGCCAGAAATATATTTTGGAGCGCCTCAATTGTTTTTTTCCTATCAGAGGAATTGCTGTGGTTATTATATTGTTCCAACACTGTTTTCAGTTCCTTAAAATAATCATCACAATAGTAATCATACTCGTCATGGACAACATGACATCAGTGTTCAACACTAAGGCTTCGCTGCCATGCAATCATGATTTATTTGAAAGCCTTACTGTGAAAAAAAACAATAAAGGTGGACAGAGAAGGGATTTAGTGCTAGCATACTACAATCCATCCGACGTGCCTACACTTGCACAAACTCATTCAGGTAATCAGGATGGAAACTGACAACAAGAACGCCATCGACATCGATTAGCAGTCATATCCTGCAGCGCCTCCAACCACGCGCATTGGGGAACACGCGGTTCCTAACCTGGAAGGCAAGTTGCTCCAACAGCACCCGAACGTTTCATCATATTTTTCATGCCCCTCTACTACCTCTGCTTCTGCCACTCTGAAAATCTACCTGATGAGCCCCAAGAAGGGCGAAACCGGCCGTAGGCTGTCGAAAGGTTTTCAGTAACCTTGTGAGTAATTTCCTTTATAAAAAATAGACCAGTTCTTGTTTTTCTGTTTCTTCGAGATGTTTCTTCATACAAGAACTGCGTGGACGAAATATACTGGTGTTGCCGTCACTGAGATTTATGACTCTTACTTTTGTTCCGTAACAATACCACATTGTGAAAGTATTTATTGGATTAGATCATAATCGTGTCAGTAATGAGTGCCTAGAGAAAGATAATCGTATAAAACATACTGGGTAGTATCACATTGTAATGACAAATAAACAGTTTGGTAATGACATCCTTTTGGTGCCTAGCTGCCATGCCACCCGAAGGAAGAACGAAGGCTGTAGTATTGCCAGGTTGCCCAAGCCTACAGAGGAGCAGTTGACAGGTGTTCAAGTTCGCGCTTTAACCGGTGAGCTATCTCGAGTTTAACATCACAATACTTCACTGCATACCAATCTATCTCTTAGCAAGACTCGCCTACAGGTGACAGAGCGAAATGGGGCAAAATGGCCCAAGTGGTTAGAGCGCGAATTTACTGACCGGAAGGTCCGTGATTCGAACCCGACCTCCGCCGCTCAACTTCCCCTGTCTAGGCTTGGGAAACCTGGCAGTATCCCAGCTCTCGTGCTTCCTTCGGGTGGCATGGCAGTTGAGCACCGGGAGGGTGCTACAGCTGAACGACAAAGCGCAACACTGAAAAGAATCCCCAGTGTGAGGAGGTGCCTCTAAGGAAGAAAGACCAGTGGAGTGCACATGAGTGCCAATTACAAAAGAACCTACTTGATCGTCGTCAGGAAGAACAGGAAACAAGTGTTCGCCAACAAGCCGATAGGGTTCCACTGTAGAAACATACACAACATAACTGCTCAACGGTCCTCGAAGTAAGGATTGCAGATGGCTGTCCGAATCACCGCACTCTGAGGTGTTCTGACCAGGCGGATGAAGCTCCAACAATTTGGAATGTTCCGACCGAATAATCACAGACGTTCTTGATATGTTGTGTGCGTTGATTTGTGGTTGTACCTCTGGTTTTCCCCGAGATGTGAGGGCATAAAATGGTCTCGTAAATGAACTCCAACCAACGTCATTCAACGCTCGAAGGATGATATGATAGCATCTGTACGCTTCCAACCCGACAAAGGTCATTGTGTTCAATGGAGCAGAAACGTTCACCTCCTGTACGAGGATATCCCTAAAATGGAGAAAATAAGGTATTTCTAAACATTTCGTAAAAACTTGACCACATGCCAGTCACATGCTCAACGTTAGTATACACGCACCAGAACGCGAGTATTTGGTAAAGTACGCTGAGCTGTAATTTGGCGTGACCAAGATGCAACTGAATACTACCAGAATCGTTCGTTTATGATATTCTTCAAATGAATTTGTCGAACAAGAGCTGTCTCATGTTCTCTTGGGTATGATACACGACACAGCAGATTACTGGAAGCTCTACAATGGATAGATACCAACTAAACTCCCCCTGGGGCTCATCAAATAGTGTGCTACATCAAGAAAACATTTCGACATCCGGAAGATTGTGCCAAACGAAAATATGGGACGGTCCCTGCGCAAGGCATCCATTTTTAAGGGTGTCATAAACGAGAGATTCAGCTGAGTCACTTGATAACGCCTACTTACTTTGCAAAGAATCGTGTCTCACTGCTCGCGTACACTTCGCTGTTCAGTTAGAACATAAGTTTGACGCCTATCTAACAAGTACACAAACAAGCTAAAGCTGGTAGTTGGTTGTAGGATAGTTTCCGGCAACCTTATCAGTTGCCATGTAAAGAAAATATATAGCCATGGGGCCTTTCCCAAGAGAGAATGGCACCATTCTCATTATATGGTACAGTCATCGTTAATGACAGCACGACATCAGCGTTCATCACTGATGCTCCGTTCACGTATAACCATGATTTACTTGAAAAGTTTATTTTGAAGAAAAGAAGAAACGTGGACGGGGAACTGAGTTGGTGCTAGCTTACCGCAATTATTTCGAGAGGCTTACACCTCTGAACACCCATTCAGGCAACCCAGATATAAAACTTGCACTCCCTTAAAATTTATGTGTGCAGTGTCTCCGAAACACACACAAACAAGACGTAAGCGACGTTATGCACTTTAAAACGTCAAGAAAAAACTCAGCTCTTTCATGTTTCTCTATGTATGTCCAGTGATCCAGAAGCGATGAATCGTAGAATACGTGTTGTGGGAATTGCAGTCACACCCAGTCTCTCAAACACCAAGTAGTGAACAGCCTAAGGAAAGACCAAGAGCTCCGGTGGACATCAAAAGCTCAGGAGATAGAGAAGGCCATCGGAAACTGATACGATCGATTGGCCCTAGGAAAGTAACGAGCAGTGACACGATAAGTGAAAAAGGCGGCTCAATAATCCACTCACAAAAACGTCGACCGGACAGATGAACCGAACACTTCGAAGAACAGTTTAGCGGGCCTCCTGCAACAAAGCCTGTATAGATAGTGCATACGGGCAAATGTAATGTAAACCTTTATCGGCCGTTGGAAAAAGAAAGCAAGCACGAATACCCATCCTGAAAAGTTAGGAGGCACGGAAAACGGGCGCTCTATATCCAGCCCTCTTCAAGGAGGGCGGAGAATCCCTGTTGACCTGGTGCGATATGCAGCGAAGAGAAAGCGCCTGAAGAAAGGGGCGCGTCGATAGTTATTTCTATCTTCAAAAAGAGTATGCGGACACTATGCGAAAATCGCTGTGGCATCAGCCTGGCAGCTGTAGCATCGAAGGCGCTGTCTGGTCTTATCCTTCGAAGTTTGACTGAACGCAGAGAGAAATAGATCCGTGAAAACCAGACTAGATCCCGTTCTTCAAGAGAATGGATCAATCACATATTCACACTCGGACAGATTCCGGAACAACGATACTGCTTTCAGCAACCAACACTTGTGGTTTTGTTCGGTAGACCGGTAAACCGTCATGTATTATGGCAGTGTCTGTGGAGAATAGGCGTCCACCATAAATTCTAAAATCTCCTTAACCCATCGCGGACGCCTGAGGGAAGCTATCGCAGGAGTTCACCACAAAATTTGATATCAGACAAAGGTGTCCCCCTTCACCTTTCCTCTTCAACTTCGTAACTGGTATGATTATGGAACACTCAATAACAGCCTCTTATGCCTGTGGAGGGTCGAAATGCTCCCAGGGCATTCGCATCAGTGTTGAACACTGATGTCATGCTGTCGATGATGATGATTCGCTCCAAGATATCGAGTACGCAGGATACGTGGCTCTTCCTGCATCTGACGCCATCGCAGAGCAAACAGTATTGAACGATCTGAATAAATCTGCCTCATGGTTTGGCATGCGCCTCACACCTGCAAAGTGTACGGGTGCTACTGGGTGGGCTCGAACCCTAGCCTAATGCTTGCGGATGAGCCGGTTGAGATAGTAGATAAATTTGTGTACCTGGAATCACGAAAGATGGATTGGGAAGGTGAGAGCAACTTTCGTGAATCTGCATCACCTGTGACGTAGAGGTGACATTAGCTTATCCGTCAAGGGTCCAGTTTACAATGCTGCGGTTCGCCCCATATTACTAAACGTGTGGAAAAAAACCTGACAGTTGCGCGCAGAGGACACCAAAAACTATCAGCGTCTGAACATCGACGTCATCGGAGAATTGTCAGTCTGGTAGGGACATGGGATCAGTAACGCTGAAGTAGGTCGAATGGTTTTTGGACGAATTAACTCGTTCATGATACATGAACTGACGACTACCCATAGGTTGTGCTGGCCTGGTCACGTGCTCCGTATGCTAATTAACCGGCTTCCCCGAAAGGCAGTTTTCGCACAACCACGCGAAGGGTGGAAACGAGCCAGGGGAGGTCAAACAATGACTTGGCAGTGAAGTATGAAAACCATTACCAGCAGACTCAGTTGCGCTGATCATTGCCGTCTCGCTGAATGAAGACGTCGAGACCGCACACATCAATGGTTAGATACAAGTCAGACATGGCCTGGTTGAGCCCTTAAGAGTGCTTATGCATTCAAGTTGTTGCCTTCAACGCCCAGCTTCCCTTCCGGTTTTCCGAATGGAAAGTCCACTGACACGTTTTTCCGCATCAATTATGTCAGCCACCGTCTCCAAAGCGTAGACATCTACTCAACCTCTCCAAATCATCAGTGAACGAAACTGCGGTAGCCATAACCACCATACGACAAGTACACGTATGTTACAGCTGATAATAGTGATGTCCAGGAGCATGAGCTTGAAGGTGATGGGTGAAAAGCGAATTTGAAAGATATGTGGGCCTTTTTCCCCTCCTGCATGCCCCAAGTCGACAAGGCTTTCGTCATCAACCAAGTGAACAAGAGGAAACCATTTAGCGGTCGTCCGTCACGAAAATGAACAGAAAAGGAGGGAGTCATTATCATGTGAGGACAACACATTTTGTAGGAAGGCCTTTGGAGAGATCCGCATATACATTCACACACAAAAATTTCGGAGCTTTTCATTGTTCA